AGGGAGTATTTTGATAAAAAGCAGTAGAGCAAAGATTTGAAAGCACTTCATGGAGAAAATAAATGGTAACCATCTCAGCAAGGAAGTGAGGAACAGTAGAGCTTGGATCACGTAGTTGTGATCTTGAATTTTTTGACACTCCCTGACCCCCACAATCAAAGATTCTGGGGTTAGCTGAGCTGAGGCACTTCTTTACCTCTGTGGCTTCCACTGGGGTGTCACCTTCCCCAGCCCCAGCAGGCTGGTCTTCAAGCTGCGCCGGATGCTCTAAATCCTCCTGCAGAACATACAAGAACAGGACCTCCTTACTGGATCAAAATATAATCAGATGCCTGAATGACCAGAGGGCTGGAGGAACTCCTCAGGTCAGGGTTTCCCATTCTGGGTAGCTTCCAGATGTGTGGACTTCAATTCCCAGAATGCTCAGCAATGGCTGAAGCATTCTGGGAGCTGGTCCACAATCCACGCATCTGGAACAAAGTGTTGGACTAAGACGAATCTTGGTTGAATCCATGAAGACTGTTCTTCTGCACACAAGGGCCAGGCACATAGACTATAAACACTGAAAAGCTGAGATTGCCCAAGCTGAATGCTATTCACTGTGTCCCATTTTGTACTGTTTCGTTTTTCTCTGTTGCATACAGAGAACCGATGCAAATATAATTTCCCATCCTGGCCCTGCTGAACTTCAAACTCAGTTTCTGCTGACTCGGTGAACATAGCCAGGCAGGGCTGTTGGGATTTCCCTGCTCGTGATTCCTCCAAGGTTTGTTTTTTGTTTTCTTTTTCACTTCCCCATCTGGCCTACACTTCTGGAGACCCCTGGTGGTCTTCCATCCAAATACTAAATGGCTATGAAGCATGGAGTTAATGGTCTAAATTTAAGAATGTAAACTAGGAAAGGGGTTGATTTAGCTCCTTCCCTTAGACCTACCCTCCCTGCCGCTCGCCAACAATTTATACATGAATGAGGCAAGCATGTGCTCTGGATACAAACAATTGTCTGTGTGTTTCCTTGGTCCTGGGGAAACATCCAAGCTCATCTCTAATTCTGAATGGTGGGCTTGAGAATCACATCCTCTGTTTGTTTCTCTTGTGTCTGCATCCCTCATCATGACTTCACATCTCTGACTCACCCTCTATTTTTAACCAGGCAGGAAAGGAGCATCGTGAGATTTTTTTCCTTTCTTTCTGAACTGGAGCACAACTACAGGATGGAAATGTGTTGGTCTGCATGTTCCTTCTCTCGCCATGCCAATATAGATTTGACAACTTTGACACATCGAGAGATACTAATTTTGGACACAGCCACTCTCTAAATCAAGAACATGTGACCCAAGGCCTACCAGCCTAATATTTTAGGACAGTATCATCTAATGTTTCAGAATATTCCCTACCAAACCAAAAGATTTCTGGGCAGGAAGTCATTCTTCCAAACAAAGCTCTACCTAGCTATTATTTTGAAGCATTTTTAAAAGAATTCCTATGACATCAGAGGTACTTCTCTAAATAAAGAGCTTGCTATTTTGTGGAGGAAACGCCATAATCAATTATCTTGGTCTCTGACGATAAAAAGACCCAAGAATCAAAGCCTTGTATTCTCTTTTTTCTTGATGTTTCCCAGAAAGCTTTGTGGACCTACTGTTGTGCTTGCAAATTTCCCATAATTGGTTTTTGGAGAAAATGAGATGCTGGACTGGAAGTCTTTGGAATGAACCAACAGCATTTGCAGAGCTTTTCTTTACAAAAAACCCCCCACAAGTAGGCAGAAAAATTAGTAACTTTCAGTTGTACAAACAGCCAATCGAATGTTCCATGAAACGGTTGCTGCAGAATGTACAGAGAAAACCAATAAAATCCCAGGACAAACATTGCTCAAACATCTGTTCAGTTTCTGTATCGTGTCACTAATGGTTTTCTCTGTATTCTGTTCTTCCTCATATTCAAGATACAATTGTTGTATCTATTGCCCGTTTTACAGCTCTTAATGGGTCAAATGCCACTTTCATTACTAATGTCTTTGAGAAGGGCATGTTCACTAATGTATCTGGTCTTCTTCTTAGGTAGCTCACCAGATGTTGGTCTTGCCAGGAAGAGAAGGTCATGGACACTAGCATGGCCTTCACAATGAAGCTCATGTGTGAATAAAGATCCAGCTTCTTATAGTAAGTTGCAAAACTATTTTCTAATAATAATACCAACCTGGAGGGGATTCATGTAGGTTTAATGCTTTTAAAATATTTCCAGCTGCATACTCAGGGAGATTCACAGGCTATATCTCTCAGCAAGTGGTGGTAAGAATATCAAGCAGGAAATGGGAAGACATTCTGCTTGTTGAAATCTAGCAACATGAGAGTTCTACCTTCATGAAATTCCTTTATTGGGTAAACAAGTCACATGCAAGATTTACAACCTTTTTCACAGGAAGAATGGTTTACTGAGGGGAAATAACTGTTTAGCTCCACCCATGCTTGACAGTTTCCCGTCTGGCATCATTTCCCCATCGCTGGTCTTAAACCAGAAGAAATCTGGTTAAGAAGTAGGAAGGATGCTATGGCGGAAAGTTAAGAACACATTCAACTGGATGGTTTCCCCCTGCAAATATCACCACCCCCTGCACTGGCCTTATCTCACAGGCACAGCATTAGGAACATGGTAAAGTCTCATTCATGGGCAAAACTGAAAGATCACACCTACCCTTTTGACAAGTCCACTGGTGGTTACAATGGTCTCTGCTCCTTCCACTGTCTGCTTTGCCACTGTGTTCACACTGGCCACCACACTTTCTCCCACAACATTGGCCTGTTCTTTGGTCTTTTCAGCAACTGAAGTTTAAGCAGAAAGAAGTTGAGAGGATGAATCAAAGTAAGATGAAGGTTCCACTTTCTGGATGTGGTTGGAAGCTACCATCATAAATTGTCTGCTATCTTTCAGTTGAGGCCAGTTATGAACCTCGTTGCTGCCCTCACCTGCATTTTTGCAGCCCAGATCTGGGAGGCCTGCTACCAGCATCCCTTCTGGTGATCTCCAGAATCCCTCCCCAAAATGGGTGGAGGCGGATTGCTCAGCCCTCATTTTGCACTTTCTGGAATTTTGAAGGGGATTTAAGACCACCTCCCAGAATGTATCAAGTCTGCTCCCACTTTCAGAATAGAGCCCAGCAAAGCCCTGAAGCTGAAAGATAGAAGAAGTTGCACAAGTTCTGGGAACACCATCTTGTCTTTCCCTCAGATAGAAAAAGGTCTAGAGTTGACCCTGGTAGAGGGACTGTTATGCATTATTTCCTCTGTCTGCCTTGGGGAAACGTACTTTATAGCTGCTGAGATGTTTTCCCCCTTCTGATGTCCAAAGAGACGAACCAAGGCTTCTTTGTTCTCTCCATGAGTCCATCAACCATTTTTCTCATGGACCACATACTTGGAATTATTCTTGTAACATATGGCAAACTCTTCTGCAGCTTTGCATAAGTGAAAGTGTAGCTCTCACTTTCCACATGCACAAATATGGGACTTGGATAACTGAAATGGTCTATTTTCCAAAGAGCTCTGAGCTAGAAAATGGTAGGCTGATAGTAGCCCACATTCATGATTCCGCCATAACATGGTTGGTTGACTTCTGGATTCTCTTGATGTGCAAACCACTGAGGCTATAACCTTGTTTTCTTTCTGGGGATATTAAGCTAAAAATAAACCACATCGTAGCATAATTTTTGTTTGTTTTTACTTTTATTGAGTACAGCAAACAAAGAGAAAGAAAAATAAACAATGTACAAAATGATAAAGAAAGAAGAAGAAAAACTCAAGAAAACTAAAAGAGAAACCAAAATATATAGGGCTATGTTCACAGTTATACATGTACTACACAAGCATTTCATGGAAGGAGTGGCCATATTGCATGATAATCATCCATTGCTAATCTACATTGATAAGTGATTCATTCATAAGTTGCTAATATTGCCAACACTGCAGACCCTGGAGATGTTGGGGCCATGTCTTTATCTTTCCAGTGCTGAAGAATAAGTCATACTCTATTAACATTCCATAATGTTAATGGATGGAGCATTTTTTGGAAAATATGTGAATTCACATGTATTCATGCAAGTCCCACATGGATATAGGAAGATATGAGAGGGTGTCACTCATTCAAAATATGGAATCCAGCAGCAAATCCACAATGCCGAAATGTGTGAAGCTCTTACCTGAAGATACACTTTGCACCACTCCCTCTTTGGTTTTTGTTCCTGTAAGGAGGAGAGAGGAGAGAGAGAGGGGAAAAAATTATTAGTTTTGCTTTCAGAAATCATCCATTTATATTTGCGGTAGTATTACAGCTTAGCAGAGAATGAGTCACCAGATAAAAGGCATTGAGTTTCCTGCTTCCAAGATGAATATGGCACTTCAGACAAGTGGCAGCTTGGAGCAACCATTCAAATACAAAACCCACAAACCAAACAGATTTTAGATAGCAGCTTTTTTTTCTCTTTTGAGGAAGGAGAACTTCTTAAAGGAAGAGTCTGTCCCCCACTCTGGTAAAATAGGGAGGACCTTTAGCCAGAGAAAAATGAAGAAGATTTTTGGAGGAGAAAAAAGAGTAGTTAAGAGTTGTCTGTAGATGAATAAAAAAATGGGGCAATGCTCTTTGCTGTTTGCGGAGCTGTCCCAGAGCCAACACTTTGGTCATAAGAAAAAGAGAGAGAGAAAACTCTACCATGTAGATGCAGCTATATTCTCACTACAAAGGCACTACGTTTCCCCAAGTATATAGAGTTATGAACTGCTCGCCACATTTACTGCTTTTCAGATGCCTAAAAGGTAAATGCAAAATCTCCTACAGGGGTTACAAAGAAGGACATCACGTCTTTGGTGCTTGGCCGATGGCTTGAAAACTCTGCTCTCCTCCTAAGGACATCATCTGGTCTGCTTCAGAGGTCAGCCCGATGCTACATCACAGCCAAACTCCACTGCCATTTTAGAAAATTAGATCATCGGATCGTGCATCAAGTTTATGTATCCTTTCAAACTATCCAAATCCAAGGATGATTTTACTTGGCCTAACAATGCCAAAAGTCATTGTAGAGGTGATTCAAGTCATACTTTATTGTCACCCCTGTTTTAAATCACATTTATTCAAAAATATCAGGAAGCCTTATTTTTTAAAAAAATAAATATGCCTGTAAGCTCCTTTTCAACTTATATTTGCTTAGGGGAGGTGGAGAGGGTCTTAACCTTAAAACCAAGCTCTACTTTTCCATAAATATCCTTCACTCCAGGAATCTGGTTTTCTTCCCCTCTTTCTTTTCTGAATTACTGCATGTCTTCAGCCGGACTAACAATCACCCAAAATCAAGTGTGTGAAGGTTCTTCTCTGAGGCCTGCACGTTCACTGGAGCTGATCTGCAAAATAATCCCAAAGGGTTGATGGTACAGCAGAGGGAAAAAAGCAGCAGCTATACTAATGAGCAAACCAATTTCATTTGCCATTATTCATTGTTGTGCTGAACGGGCATTTTAATGAGCCAGGTCTAATCTCCAGCATAGTCATGAAAGTCAAGCAATATTCCTTTTTAAACTAGCAACAACAGAGCTTTAGCTTTTCCTGAAATTTTAGACAATATTACTGAAGTTTGAACTGCTCAGTATTCATGTCCAGCTGCTATCGGAGTTGCCAACCTGTTTTCTCACCAAGACCCCCAAGATTTGAACAGCCTGGAGGCTGGTGAAACATTTTCTGACATGCAGATGTTTACACTGGAAGGAAGATAGGCTGCATATTCACACACTGCCTAAATTAATCCAAACCTGCACACACATACACACCCTAACTGAGATTAAAACAAACTAAGTTTGGTTTGCTGTGCAGTGCAGCTTTTCACTCATCTTCTGAACTGTGTTCTGTTCAGGGGGAAATTGTAGGAGAGGATCCCTTCCGTACAGATGACCTCCTCTTGGATTTAACTGAAAAACACAGTTCTAGAGCTGCTAACTCGTCTTAGCAGCTCAAGCACCGTCCTTCCCACTACGTTTAATCTTCTCTGCCTTTGGAAGGACCACACCCAAGGCCTCCGAGTTCTGGTTTGTTTTCTACATGGCATGAACTCGGTATCCCCAAAACACTGCAGTTGCAAGCCAAAAGCAAACGACTGGCCACAGACGAATGGATCCCAGTGGATATTGCAGGCTCAGCTGATCTCTCCCGTTGCAAAGCTTTCTTGCTTGCTTCTTCCATTCTTTTACTGCATCTTTGGGGGCAACAGTCAACCTATCCTCAGCATCACTTTAGGTGCATGCCTACACTAGTTGAGCGGGGAGCTGCCATTTAAATTCCCCACGATGCTGCCAAAGTAGCATGATCTTGAGCCCTGTGGAAAATGTCAATGGTAGGGTCACTGTCTAGGCCACCTGGGGTTGATCACATCTGCTCATTTCTGCCATCACAAAGTAACTCCACTGGCTTTCACTAGAAGGGGCTTGGGTCCCCGCATTTGGAGATCAGTCCAGAATGAGACTGTGTTTGGGGTGAAAAGGGCATTTCTGCTGTATTTTTTTCTAGTGCTTTAGTCATAAATCAGGAATTTCTGACCCCTTTTCTTCTATGCCCCCCTCTCTGAGAAATTTGGGCTTTCCCACCTCTTTATTTGTCTCTAGAGAGGAGTAATTCAGCACCTGGCCCTGTCCACCGTGATAAGAACCTTCTAGCGCCGTAATAAGATCATTTCCTAAAGCAGCAGGTGGGTAGTCTAGGGTGACTGTGGCCGTGGTCCTAGTTTGTTCCTACTGCTCTTGAACAACTTCATGAGGATAGGTGGGGGAAGGGTTAATCCCAGAAGAAGGGAAGGAAGCTTGTTGGGGAAGAAACATAAGGGGAAAATGTTGGGCAGATGGGAATGCACAAGGAAAGCATTATCTAACAAAGTTCCTGGTCAAAACCTTCTCCATCAATCTGCAGGATGGAAGGAAATGCAGGAGAACTGGTGAGGTGGTGTTGGCTTCACCTCTTTGGGACTTTCCACCACTGGCTTCCCCCCTACCCAATTTCCACACCAGCCCTGGTCATCTTAGACAGCTACAGTGTGTGTTATCTCAGTAACTCTTGAACCACCCCCACTCCCCCTCACCAAAGATGCCCAGTAGCATTATTCACTTCTTGCCAATGAGGGTGAACTGAGAGCTGTTGGCTGGAAGGTTAGACAGATGCCCAATGTTATACTGTAATTCTCAGCTTGAAGCTCTGTTAGTGGACAACGTTTTTTCTGCTTGAAGGGTTATTCCTCCAAATTTGGTTTAAAGGTAAATAACCCTAAGATGGGAAGAGCAGGGATCTCAGATCACTAGCCTCTGATCAGCAGACCGAGCAAGTAAAGACATCACCATCTTCCTCTCCTATGGCCAACGACACTGCAGTTCTGCTGAAAGGAAAACCATATTTTCCTAACTTCTCTTTCTAAAGCCAACTTATTCCAGCTCTGTCTGTTCCCTTTTTCCTTCGTGTGCATGGATGTGATATATTCACAGCCCTCCTATTGACTTGTCTAAAGCTAGAGGGCTTACAGTGGAGCCAGTTATGCTGCTTCTAGCCTCTCTGCATCTGTTCACGTGATTGTGAGCAGAGTACACTTTCTGCTTTCTTTTTCACAGTTGTTGGGAAAGAAGCCATCGAGATGACGAAGGAAAAGAAAAGAGGATGTCTGAACAGCGCCATTGCAAACCTGAGCTGCAGTGCAGTCAAGCTCCCGCCACTCATGTGAATCGAAAAGAACCTGGCTTAGTTTAGATCTGGAGGGGCTGCAGCCACCCTTGACCTACCGTTTTCGGCTCCCAGCTGTTCAACAACAGCAGCAACAAGATGACCTTTACAGCAAGCAGAATGGGGCTGCTGACTGGAATGGCGTTTGCATGAAAGCTCCGTTTTATTCTGCAGGTTCCTAGACTGAGAATGTGCCTGGAAGTTCCCAGTTCCTTATTCTAAACTCATCTCTCTTGAGTCTGTCTCTGGCTGGCGATTTGCTTCATTCTAATAAAAGCAGACAAGGCTGGAGTCGTTGCAAAGCACAGTCTGTTTTATCCTGACACTGTTCTTTCTTGTTGCAATGACTCAACATTACTGGGACTTGTTTACAGTCAA